GTGTCTATATATATATATATATATATATATATAAATATATATATATATATATATATATATATAGTGTGTTCGTGTGTGTGTGTGGTATGTGTGTTGCATGTATATATATATATATATATATATATTTATATATATGTGTGTGTGTGTGTGTGCTTGTTTGTATCCTGTATGTAGATATAGTTATGTATTGGATGGATGTATGTATGTATGTATGTATGTATTAATATATATATATATGTGTGTGCGTTTTCACCTATATATTTATATATATATATGTAAGTGTCTGTGTGTGTGTCTGTGTGTGTGCGCGTGCGCTTTCACTTATATATATATATATATGTTTGTCTGTGTCTGTGTCTGTGTTTGTGTTTGTGTCTGTGTCTGTGTCTATGTCTATGCCTGTTTCTGTGTCTGTGTCTGTGTGCGTGTGCGTGTGTGCGTGTGTGTGTATGTGTGTGTGTGTGTGTGTGGATGTATATTTGTATATATATATATATATGTGTATGTGTGTGTGTGTAAATAAGTGTGTGTGTGTGTATGTATATATGTATATATGTATATATAGATATATGTGTGTGTGTCTGTATCTGTGTCTGTGTGAGTTTATTTTTGTGTCGGACTTTTTTGTGAATATATATATATATATATATATATATGTGCGTGTGTGTGTGTGCGTATATATATATATATATATATATTTGGATATGTTTGTTTTCCTGTGTTCATTTATTTCTGTGATGTATATATATATATATATATATATATATATATATACATATACATATGCATATATATATATACGTGTTTTTGTGTTTGTGTGTATGCAAGTACAATATTATTTGCGCATCTATGCGTATGTGTCTGTGAGTCTGTGTGTTTATTTGTGCAAGTGTGCATTTTTTTCTTGTTTTTTTTTCTCTTGTCTATATACTTTGAAATATTTTTATCTATATCAATATACATATATTTCTATGTATATAAATGCCGTGTTCATGCTAGATATATGCAGTTCTACTAGCTACACGATTTTTCTGTTCTTGAAATTTCATAATCATATTTGTTGAGTACCGATCATTATAAACAATCTGGTGGCGCTGCATCATGTTTGGGGCAGCCGAATTAAACAGTTGTACTTGCGACTGTGTCCTTATCGTGACATCTAATACCCCGTCTGTCTATAGTTTTAATAACGTATATGCTGCACAGCGTGTTTCGCTTCTATTGTGTTGTAAAAATTTATAAACGTTTTTGGTGGGATTGTTTTACATTACCGCAGTATCAGGCGTGGACGTTTTATCGAGTAACTGAAAGAGGTGTGCGTTGTTTGATTTCTGTGAGTGACTAGCTTTTTGACTGATGTGTTTTCTCGGCTACCAGCCCCTTTATTTGGTTATTGGTATATAGAATTCACTTGTCGTCTCATACCTTATTGTGAAATCTGAACATAAATCGAAGCCGATCGAATCCTACAACCGTATGATGGTTGTGGCGGTGGCAACTAGTTACTTAAGTATTATCTAATGTTCTCTGTTGATGTAAATGTTCATCTAGTCCCGTCTACGCCCCATACATTCTTATTCAGCGTTGGACTTGGGGCTCAGTTTTTGTCGCAAAATGCTTACGAGTCGCGGCGCAATCCAGAGAATACCATCAAAGGAATGCTCAAGCGCAAATCTGGACAAGAGGAGGAGGAGGCTGCAAGTGGAAGTGAGTATTGTTTTCTAATTTCCTAACTCTAAATATCATAGTGCATAGAAGGTGTACAATGGCACAGGAGTGACAAGCTTTTGAGGTACAGCAACCTTGCGTTATGAATAGCAGTTCTGTGTGATGTCCTCTTGTTACAGATAGGGTTTGTGGGGCACCTGCTAATATTGTCAATCGCACAAATCACCTTCATTAATCTATGTCGATATTTAAAAGATTTGGTCAAAAATAAAAACAAGGCATACTTTTCAACGCGGATGTTGCAACTAGCGACAAGAGATAGTATGGCCGTTATAGGAAGTGCTTTGGTGTGCAATATTTTTATATTTTAATGATGCAAGGGAAATATATCTAAATATTAAGACCACCAAAATATTGGACATGCAGGTACAACGAAGGGAGGTGCGGCGGACAGCGACGATGAGGAAACTCAACGAGGGGGTGGAAGCAGTAGGAAGGCAGCGCGAATTGATCCATTTGCCGGAGCAACTAATCATGCGATTGTGAAATCGCAGAAGTTGAAGAGCGGCAAAAGTGTTCTCGAGGCGGATTATGCTTCTAGGAAAGCAAGCAAGAAGAAAAAGAAGAAAAAGAAAAAGAAACAAGAAACAAGCGAGCAGGATACAACAGAGAAGAAATGAGAAGCTGCTGGTGTGTATAGGATCATTAGAGTCCATCAGTCACCCTAAGCCATGAATGGGCACAACAGACGTCGGTAGGACGGACCACAAGAACATATGAACGATTGGAAAATAAACTATCCATTCAAAACCTAGATTGAGAAGTGATATTAAATTGGAATACAATTCCCTTTACACAAGGAATGTATATGCGTGTAACATTATAATGAAAAAGAATGTTTCGCAGTACTCCAATCAGTACTCGTGTCCATCATGGGCTTATACTGTGTAGTTTATAAAATAACATAGACATACGCCACTTTAAATTATTGATTTTACTCTGGCGCGAATTTTAAGTGCCAACGTAGCCAAAATTGTGTTTGGAGTCCAAATTCATCATTGCCGGCCTATATTGTTGTTCTCTTCGCAGCGTCTACGTCAGCAGCCGATTTCAATTTATCGGTTATATACTATCGAGTACTTGGTATGGAAGCGATTCTTTAATGTTGTTGATATGCGGCAAAGAAATATAAGGAATAAATCCATGCGTGTCTAAGCAATATATTTGAGGCGAATCAGCCTCCCATCTCTCCGAATGTGGCCGCAGTGAGCAAGGACCAACGTTTGCCATTATATTGTACTGTTGGAAGAAGTATAGGCTTGGATAACCCACACGATACGTGTATTCTAAGACTAAATATGGTGTCTTTCTCGTTCACGATTACGTATACGGAACTGAATGAACAAAGTTGTTGACGGTAGAACCTTTATATTGTAGCCAGCCAAGCTAATATTTTCGAGACTTGTGTCAGAAGTATTGCACGTTCGGAATACCGCCACTAATTACATTGTAGTCGCATTCCACCAAAACTTGAATGATATCAAAATATAGTCTGGGTAGAACTCACAGTGAAAAGAATGACGATTCGATTTTGAGGTATGTCATAGCTATGTTCCTTTCTGCTTAAAATATGCACACTGCATAATTATATACAATTGAGTGCGCCAACCGAGACTTGACGGAGAGGCCAATCCTTTTTATCTTGAAAAAGAAACCCGTATGATATTTGTATTCTGCCGACGCCTATTCAAGAGTTGCACCAATAACGCCCAATGGAACCACTAAATTCCGATACCCTCTACAAACGAGTAATTGAAAACTGGATCTTTCGGGCAGAGCTTTTAGGCGGTCTGAACAAATGCTCTCATCTTCAATTCACGTATGAGTCTCGATGCAACGAGTCATACATTAGCATATTTCTATGACCTCATTCCAGCTTTTGCTTAGTTGCACTGTCTCGCGCAATGTGAAATTTGGGCTAAGTCTGATATATTACGTCCTCCAATATTTCTTTTAAGTAACTTCAAAATTGCAACTGAAGACATACACTTGCTACATTCAGAAAGAGCAATAAAAATCACCACCCTCTACACGGTTTTCTTTGTAGTCTTAATCCCTTCTTTATCATCGCCTCTAATGTATATAACACTTCCACTGGTCCAAAGTTTGCAATTACAATGGCTTTCTCTCCCATCGCGGTCGCTATATTGCAATCAGTGCCGTGATTCATCCTAGCCTATCGCGAGACCAATCCAAAGCACAGAATCGATACTATAGTTAAAATGTATCAGGACAATTAGCCACGATATCAGCGTCACTTTATATGCATTTATATATACCAGTATGTGTCTTCTTGTGATACTAGACTATAGCGCAAATTATCCTGTGCTGATTTAAAGAAACTGCGCTCCTGAAGCCATTTTGAAACTGTATTACACTACATTCACCAAAAGTTCGACATATGCGGCGTGTGTTGCTACCAGCTGTTGACAAATATATATGCTGAGTACGACCAATCACCAGCCATAGAAATTTTTACACTGCGTAATACACGTATGACAACCTCCTGTTCACGAAATTACGACAGAATATCAAATCAGAATGAACAAAAGCGCTGCTAGTCTCTTCAAGTACTATATACAAGGGCCCATCGACAGCCCTCAAACATACAAAATGACTGTATATCTATAAATAATGAAAACATAGGTGATTAGACAAAATGGCAATAAAAGTTCAGCGACTTTTACTGCCAAAAGAACTTTAATTTTAGTTTGTCGCACTGAAGTACGATATTCTAGCCAATGCCTCACACTATAAATCAATCAATAAAACAATTTGATCACTTTTATTTGTACATAATCACTGTCGATCGTCAAGATCACATCAACATACGAAGGTACGGAAATAGAATACTACAAACTTGTACGTTCAGCAGATGCTTGTTGCACTCATTCAACTGTAAATCTCAGTAAATCCGACTTCATAATACTATCCCATCGCATCAAAGTTAATATCAATGTGCTATCGCGGCACTGCGGCAAATCGTCGCACATAGTGCTAGATTAATACTGCTAAGAATAAACACATTTTCACCCAAACAGCTGTTATGAGCACATTACATCTTAATGTGTATACTACGACCGATTAAGCGTTTGTGTTGTAAACTATACAAGTGAAAGCTTAAGAGTCATTTACTGCTCAGATGTTAAACTGCACGATATTAGCAAAATGAAAAGTCAAATATTGCCATCAGTACAATTGGGCTGTAGAACAATTTCCTCCGGACCGTAACTGGAGCCATCTCGGCTCCCTAAGAAAAATGTCTAGATAGTATGTAATATATTGTGTGTTCTAGGTCTAGTTTTTGTAACGTCTAATATAACTTTTGCACTGTTTGAAATTGTTCAACGTTAGAATATTGTATGTATTAATTAATGAACAAGTATATATATTTTCATATTCTGATAAATAGTACGAGAAAGTAAACCTGACGTTATAGGTGTGAGGAAATTACATTTTCAACACCTTCATAGTCTGGAAGTAATAAATATATATATCCCGTGTCATCGTTGGCATACCTGTGTTTAAGGATTTTGTTCGGTAAGGCTTCACACTGAGATTGAAGAAATATTGCAGCTGTAGAAATAAAAGTACGTATTATGAATTTATATTTTTTTTGCGATGTCACTGACGATGAATCAAACCTAGTCAAAGTAGCCTAGGTTAAAACCATCCACAGAAACTGAACAGATGTGCAAGGTTTAACAGCAATCCCGAATCTGAATGTTGAACTTAATTGGAAATCTGATTACACTAAGGCAATACATTTTGAAATAGACATACAGATCGATGATCAATAGTCGCATATAAACATTATAAAGGTGGTTCAAAGTTGCCATTGTGAGATCAATGAAGAAGTTGAATTAATATCCTTCAATGCGATGAATTAATCAACGACACAGATGTCCCTCTATTGAGGGAGGCCACATTTATGGAACCGCCCTCAATCAGTACTTACTACCACGTTATGGTCGTGAAAAGTTGACACCCTACCGCCAGATATGAACAGAGTCACTGAGCCCATGCACTCGAAACTGCCGCTATGCTTTTGAAGGCTTCGTAGAAAAATATGGTCACTGCGAATAGTTCTCATGTGAACTCTTGAGTCTTTATAAACATATATACATACCACCGCAAAATCTACGACTATTCTTATTTTTACAAATATTTTATAGTTTCAAATGAGTCCAAACAGGGGTACTGCTTCTTTGGTAGGACATGATTAATCTTACTAGTAAATACTGCAGCATAAAATTTATGTTTTGAGTCAGCGTCTAACAGTCAATATTCCAAAACGATGTAAATGTACTGACTGGCTATAATTTGCAACAAAACATTTGTGCGTCGTTCACATACATGCCTAGTAATTGTACAGTTTACTGCTAAAGGAAAGAAGTCTTTACACTAAATGTGCATTGAAAATAAGCCAATATGTCATCCCTTGGATTCATTGTATGCCATTAGCGCCTTGGATTCCAGTACTTCCCTGGACTTCTTGCATCTGTCCGTTCGGGCAGAAGCAACCGCATACGGTCTGGATAGGCTCATCAGAAGCTTTAAATACATACATAGGTACATATATCGGTGCTCTTATATTGTATATATGCATATCATATATGTGTATAAACATATCGTATTACGTACAACGAGATACATAGAGATAGTAGTTTAATCGAACTTCATGGTAACTCAGGAATATCCGGCATTTACAATCGCGATTAGTGCGTCAATGTCTGGATGGTTTAAGGGATCCACTGCCAGGCATCGTTTGATGACATTTCGGGTGGGCCCCTGATTTGTCATTGACATCCTAAAGATGGTAAAATAATACATGTACAGTTATTTTCGGTTGAAAGATTTCACGCTGATGTGGGCAACGGAATCCTAAAGATATTGAAGTATAGATTGCCCAGGTGGTTAGACGCGCCACCCGGGCTCCTAGCTGCATAGAATTTCCGTGGTCCTTCACCGGACAACATCCGCTTGCCGCCTAAATTACTTCGCACGAATAACCACGTACTTTTGAATATTCTTGTGGGGTCTTTCGCAATACAACTGGCTAGATACCATGAGTATGCCACATGAAATATTCTATAGGAGTACAATGACTCCGGTATATAGCTAGGTACTGTTCTGGGTCATCCAGATGAATATGTTCGATACGATAAATTTTTAGAATTCAAATCTTCTACATCTGTTATTGATATGGTAAGGTGCTGAGACAACGGTTTCCAACCGGTGTTGCACGTTCGGTTCCACCTCAAGAGACAGACATAATTTTTAAGACGAATTTCACGGGAGTTAACATTTTGATACAAATTCAAAATCATTTCATCCGCACACATGTACTTAAATTTTTATATAATAAACGAATATTACGTACCAGATTTGAATTTCACGTTCAATATATAGTTTGAGGCGTCAACTATATGGCTAGTGAGAAGTAAAGTTTGTAATCCCAATGATGTATGACGTTGCGACTATATAATGCACGATTAATAATTGGAACACTAGACGGTTGTCTAGATGGCGGGCAGCTGACATCATAACAACATTTACATAGAAGTTTTTTATTTAGTATCTACACTTTGATAGGAATAGATACTTAGTAGAAATTGGC